CGTCCCGCCTCGCCCTGGGAGGCAGAGCGGAGGGCCCGCCGCGGGGCAGCGCTGCGGGGAGCCGTCTCGGTGAGGCGCTGGGAGCGTAAGCGCCTCCCCGAGGGCCCAGCATCTTCTCTCTCGGCTTCCTAAGCCGTGTCCCCCATTTCACAGGCTGTTAGAACTGCTGTTTCATTCTGCTGCGGTCTCAGTTTTTCTTTTAGCGTTAACAGTAACTTTTACTCATGTTCTATACGTAGAGTGGCATGAAAAGCTTGTTTTGGATAAAACTACTGATGGGTCGCTTGTTTTTCTGTGTGAGCAGGTGGCCTTAGTTGTGTGCTTTGCTTTCTTCCACAGTTATGGATACTTGGTTTTGGCACTGTACGCCTATAAAGAACAGTCTGTTCCTCCTTATCTCCCGTTTTTTTACTCATTCAAGTAGATACAGTGAAGTGATGCTCTTCTGTTGCTTGTAGAACATTTTCCTGAAGATTTCTCTTTGCTCTCTGGGGTACTGAGTCACTAACATACATTCTCGGTTTCTTGCTTCCTGGTGCCTTGTGTGTGCTAATTTAGATATATATATAGTGGCCCATGCATGCATAGACAGTTGCTTATGCAGGTCAGTAAATCATGCACTTGGTATATTGAATAGTTTTTGCTTGGATGTTTATTTCCAGTGCTATTTAGTGAAAATTCCTGTATTGGCTGAGGTTGAAATTGTCTAGTAAGGCTTTCCTTGGTTATGATGTTTCCTTTTTTTTTTTTTTTCTGTAGCAACTGTTATGGTTTTTTAGCTTACTCTCCAAGTTGCATCTTAAGAGATCTTGCCAGTATTTTATTTTTTCTCTTTTGGTTCTTTTTTTAGCTAACCTATTCCAGTGTACCTTGTAGGAGGTTCTTGCACTGTGAATTGCTCATATTCAAAGTTTGAACTGCATCATCTTCACTCGTATTTCAATCTCCTACAAGAGGCGCTAGTTCAGGCTTAAAATGCTTGGTGGCAAGTAGACCCTGCAGGAGTGTTTGAACTAGTCAGAATCCTACTTGCATCACAGCTGGAAGCAATTGCTGTGTAAGCATGGTATTGCCCTTAATCTTAAGTAGTCTGAGAGTGAGGGTGTGTTTGTTCAAGGTGTGGTGGTCTATTACAATAATGTTTCCCTAACCAAGGTAGTGCCACTGCGTGTCCCTGCACTATGTTGTGTGAATTACTGTTTCAAGGTAGTAGCAGTTAAACTGTGTCTTTCCTATGTTTTAATGTATTAAACGTCTGGTGTTTATAAGGGATAACCCAATCTCTGGTTCTAGCTTGAGTTTTAGGGAACAATTTGTGGTACTAGACAATGTAGATACAGACCACCGTTTTCTTCATGACAAACTGAGTTGGTTCTCTCGCTGCACTCCCAAAATTAATTTGGGATATATCACTGGAAGAACCTGCCTGTAGCACATTCATTGCAGAATGTATATAGCTATGTCATTGTGCTCCTGTGGTGCCATGTAAGTCCCTGCCATCTGCTGTCTTCTAAGGTTGCTAGTGTTCTTCTGTTAGGTCCAGGCTAGCAGAATGTGTCTCAGATATAGCAGTTTTTCAGAGAGAGTTTCTGTCGAGAAGAATACAGCTTGTGTAGGTAAATGATACAGAAATGCACATGAGCCTCCAAGACTGTTATACAACACGGGGAAACAACTGCCTTCATTTATGGTTGATTTGATGCTGTTCATTCTGCCCTATTGATGCAAAATACAAAATAGCTGCTCAGCTTTATTCTCCTAATTCTGATCTCTATAATGGATTTATATGTTCAGATGTACAGTGCATCGGTCGGTGAGTAGTAGAATGAGATACTTTGCTCTTTTTAGTACTTGAATTAATCCTAATTTCTCAGAATGCAAATAGGTTTGTGGAAGAAAAGCTGCTCACCTGTGTGAGCTGTATTCTTGGTGCTTTTTAATGTAAGAGTTAGCATTCAGTGATTGCTGGCTTTAGCCTTTGTATATTGCAGTGTTTATCATGACTGAGTTCGTTAACCCCGAGCTAGTCCCCTTGTAATGGAAAGGTTATTATTATTTATTTTGGGATAAATGTTAACTAGGGAAGGTGACATATGAAAGAAATTTTTTTTTCATTATAGCAAGTTAGTAAAGATTGGAGGCAAGGCACTGGGAGAGTTGTTCAACTCCAGAAGAATGGATTTTGTAAAACAGTGTTTATTTCAACTGAGAAACTGAAGGGAGGGGCAGAAGGGTTAAAACATTTTTCCCTATTAATAATCATGATTAACTGAAAACATCTGTAGTCCTGTCTCATTGTGGTTTTGTGTTCTTTTTTCCTTACAGGTTAAAGTTTCATTTGACCTGGGTGATGTTCAGATCAAATACATTGATGAGGATAATGATGAGGTAAAATACCCCCCACCTTCCCAACAGGTCTACCAAAATATGACTGGCATGAATCTTTTTGCCTCTTGATAATTTGTAGTGGGTCCTTCGGGAATGTTTATTATGCGGATCAGAGGTGATGTTTTTGCCCCTTTGATAAGAAAATAGCTATTAGTCTTGTGGTTTCACTCTTAATATAACCTATTTATTCTAAAACAGTTTTTTAGAAGCTACTGCCTTTCTTTTTCCCACCCCATAGAAACAGCCAGTGGTTCTGTGTGCTCTGAGGAAGGGATGCTTCTGTTGAGGGACTTTTTTATTTTTCATTTTATCAGAATAAGGTAGTTGTAACTACTTGTGTTTGGCGCCATGGTAAAGTCCTGTCTCTTCAATCTACACTCCTTCCTCTGAAAAATGTAGGTCCCCTGTCATTAGCATATGTTTACTTCAGTGATCTGGTGTACTCAAATCCTCTGCTTGTTTTATGCAAATGCTATAATCTCCAAGCAGATTACTGACTCAGAAAACAAATTGGTTACTTCTAGTTGTCCTTGCTGAGTAACTTCCTGCTTGGCATAACCTCACCCTCTCATATTCTTTCTGTTTATCTAAATATTTAGAGTAGAACGTAGCTCTCAAACAGAACATAGCTTTTGCAAACTCTGTGTTCCACTACTTGGTTTGTTGCGCTACTAAATTGCGGAGATGGGGATCTTGGTTTTTATTTTTTTCCGTAAGGGGAAATGTCAAGATGCTTCCAGCAACATTTCAGGGAAGGATTCTCCCCTTATTTTCCAGCCTGTATCTATATAAATATATAGATGCATCTGTTAAACATCTTTTTCAAATACAAGTAGAGTAAACATTGTTCAGAATCATACAATGCTGTAGCGATTAAATAGCTTCTTGTGTTAGTAACGTCTATGTGCAAAATTGATACATGAGCACCTGTAGAAGATGGGCTTGGTTTGTATCTAAACCAAAAAACCAGTTAAGTGTTTCATGTTGGGTATTTAAAAGCAACGGGGTCCAACCTCTGTGTACTTGCATAGTGAACCCATTGGTACTGGTGCCAGCTTACTTCCAGTTGATGAGACCACACTTGTTATGGATGCTAGTAGGTGCCAGAGACCTTGCTTATTGTGCAAACCTAATAAAGAACATGGTCTGCTCCAGAACACCACAACATTGATTAATGATTAAACATGGCAGCAATAACAAATATCTGAAGGAGTGGTATTTTGGAAACTCTGAATAAAAGTACATTTATTCTGAAAGCGTGTTAATTTTAAGAGAATCACAAAAACATATTGGCTATTACTCACTATTATTTCTCTTTGCAGGTCTCTGTGAATAGCAAAGGTGAGCTGCTACTTTACTGAAGTGAAATCAGTAAACAGACCCCAACTGTTGTTCCTGTTTTTGGAGAAGCATTTGAGAATGCTTTCTTTTTGATTTTTGGATTTTATGTATGGTTGGGCATCAAATTCTTCCCAAAGGAAGGAGTTTTTGATCCATAGGAACAAATTGGAAATGACTAAATTAATGGAATGTTAAGTCTCTAGGCTGTGAGAACATGTTTGCTTGTTGCTGTATATACAACTTCTTCCTTCAGTAGCACTATTTTAAAAGAACTTACAGAAGGTATGGGAGACACTCCTTGATGTAAGGGTCCCTAAATACTATGTGGTAAACTTACATCTATTGTTTGAGACAGGGAAAATTCACATTTCTTTCCCTTTTTCTTTAGAGGAATATGAAGAAGCTCTGAAGGTAAATGCTCTCTTTGACTTTTTTCAATATATTCATCCTTCTCCAATGAAAATTGGTGTAGCTGAGAAAAAAACAGCATTACCTGGCCCATGGAAATCAGAATAGCTCAGTTTTCTAGCTTTGGACACTAGCTTGAATGTTTTGCTACAATTTTTTTCCTTCCAGGCTAATCTTGATTTGTATAAATTAGTTGAATAGGCAGTTGTGATTCAGGGCCCTGAGCAGCCAATTCATTGGTTAAATGACTGACTTTCTCAAACACTTAAACAGTAATCCCATGTTTGGAGATACTGGGCTCTAATGGGATCCCTTTAAAAATCTTGCCACCTAGACTCTAATGTTGTACTCTCTGGCACTAAAACTTTAATTGGTATCAATGCTTAGTTACTTTATAAGCAGTTAATTTTACTTAGACAAAATAAGAATTGTATTCCTTTACATTTCAGTTGTACAATACTAATGCTTTCAAGAACTTTTTGTCTGAATTTCCAATCTGATAATAATTTGAAAATAACAATAAATTAAAATTTACTGTAAGTTCCTGGATGAAATCTCTGTTGTTTACTGGGTCATATGAACAGCTTTATCGTAGATTGAAAAATTCCTGCAGAATATCTGCATGATTAACCTTTTGCTTGTAATAAACTTTTTGATAAGCATATTAGTGACCTTTAAGAAAGGCAGAATAGACTATCAGCTGATTGTACCTTGGCATTTCACTCAATTTTTCTTTTTTTGTGTGTTAGTCTTTCCCCAACCTCTCCAGTGTAGTGTAGTGCTGTATTTTTACAGGATTTTGTATGTTAGTTGTAAGTGGAGTAAATATGGTGTATGTATGTACTGTTTATTTAGATCGCAGTTAAACAAGGAAATCAACTTCAGATGAATGTGTATGAAGAAAACTCTTCTCTGAAAGAAACTTCGTATTCTTGTTCTTTGCAACTACATGAAAAAACTGTGACAGAAAAGTTGGCACCTCTTAAAGATGAGAAGAAACCTCTTTCGTACTATTCCATGCCAGCTCAGGGGTTAGAGGAAGCCTTAAAAAATGAAGAGGAGCTGACAATTCAGGTAGGATGCAGAGCTGGATTATATATTCATTAAAACAAAGAATTCTAAGTGTAATTCACTCATCGTTATCTTTACCCATACATAAAAACTCTGAGTTCAGAAGTTGTCTTCATTTTCACCTATCTGCACCCATTGAAGCTTGCAAAATTGTTTGAATGCCTTCAAGAGGATATTTTGATGCTGTATTTAGAAATACAGATTCTTTCATGTTGACCATTCTTAAGTATTTTGATAAACAAAGCAATTAGAATCATATAATCATAGGATCATTAAGGTTGGAAAAGACCTCTAAGATCATCGAGTCCAACCATCAACCCAGCACCACCATGCCCACTAAACCATGGCCCTAAGCACCTCATCTACACGACTTTTAAATACTTCCAGGGATGGTGACTCCACCGCTTCCCTGGGCAGCCTGTTCCAAGGCCTGACCACTCTTTCAGTAAAGAAATTTTTCCTCATGTCCAATCTAAACCTCCCTTGGCGCAACTTGAGACCATTTCCTCTCGTCCTATCGCTAGTTACTTGGGAGAAGAGACCAACCCCCACCTCGCTACAACCTCCTTTCAGGTAGTTGTAGAGCGCGATGAGGTCTCCCCTCAGCCGCCTCTTCTCCAGGCTAAACAACCCCAGTTCCTTCAGCCCCCCCTCATAAGACTTGTGCTCCAGGCCCTTCACCAGCTTTGTTGCCCTTCTCTGGACACGCTCCAGCACCTCAATGTCCTTCTTGGTCTCCTGAAGCCCTGACTGCTATCTGGTTGACTTGATTTCTTTGGCTTTGATGTGTAATTACACTCAAATGCTAGTAAGGCAGAAATCTGTCAGGAAAATGTCAGTCGCTTGCTTGTGTTGCTTTTCCACTGTTTTCTGAAGAACTTGAAATCTTTTTTTTGTAAAGACAGTTGAGGGGAGAGCTATTTGAAAGTGGTTAACTTGCTGTATTGAGGGTTTTTTTCAGCTTTGCATACTTGAAGTTTGTGACTTACTTTTGTGGTGTGTTTTTTTGTTTGTTTGGTTTGTTTTTTTCCCCCAGCAAAAGTTAAATCACACTAGAACAGGAAGAACAAATGAAAATCCTCCAGGATGGTTTACTAGCTACTTGGAAACAGTAAGTGTGTTTTCTTCTGAATTTTAGTATTCTTAAAGGAATACGTAAGAGGGTGTGGGTGGAAAAGACACCTGTGATGCCTAACTCGCTATACATCTGATCACACTTGCTCTCAGTACTTGTGACCAGGATCTTAAAGGGCATTTAGACATCTAATCACTTTGGTTTTGTGGTGATAAATGGAAACTAGATGTCTGACTGTACAGTGTAGGTGTTACCTTAAAAAAAAGTTTGATACATGCCACTTCTTGTCAAAAGTGGATTGTTTGGTTCATACACTTGATTGGTTTGAGTGTAGTTTTAAGTAGCTCCCATGCTAGAATCCTTGTTGCACTCCAGATAGTCATAGGAACTTCAGGGCACTCATGATGAGAGAGAGCATGAAATGCGGTGTTGCTGTTGGAAGCTCTTGTTTGACCAGTTTCAGTGGGGTGATACTTAAGGTTTCCTGAGATTTGAAGCATAGCATTTGATGACCTTGCTTTTCTTGATTGTCCAGTTTAAGAAAATACTTTCAGGAGGCCAATGAGTATAACCTATAGATTAATAAGATGTGGGTGTTAACTTGTTTTGAACACCAAATAAATATCACTGAGAAGCAGTTAGATACGAGTGCTAAGAATTAATTAGCTAGTGAGTTCTTGAAACTAAAAGGTGCTACAATAGTATATGCATTTATCTTTAAGGTTTTTTTTCTAGCATCTCCCTTCCTTTGCCACCTCTTTCTACAAACTAAAGATAGGGGAACTTAATGGTTGTGTTTAAAACATCCCTGGTGGAAAAAATCAGGACTTGATGATAGAGACTCCGGAGGGGTTTGTATGGAGTTGTGTTAATTGTCTCAGAGATTAGTTTCCTTCCCTTTGTGCAAGGTTGTGGAAGAACCTTAATATTGTAAGCATGACTATATGATTTTTAATTTGCCTTGTTAAAACCTAGGAGCTGGTATTTTCTAAAATACAAATCCTCTTTGAGGAATGTGATACTTGTGTAATTTCATCTGGAATGTGCTGGGGAGATGGGAAGTGGATTCTGAGCTGGTTTGTGACTTACGGGTTGGGAGACTTGGGACAACGTAATCCAACTTTGAAGCTGCATAGGTGGGTCTCATCCATGACTACTTTAATTTTTTTTCAGTTCAGGGAACAAGTAGTTAAGGAAACTGTTGAGAAACTGGAACAGAAGCTATATGAGAAGCTTGTTCATCACAATCAGCCTCCAGATTTTTCCGAGAGCTCTATTGCAGCAGCACCTCCAACTTCAGAGAGCCAATCAGGGAATGGCAACCAGTGTGACTGGCTGATCTCCTGCTGCAACTGCCAGGCCCGAATTGTTGGAGTTCGCTACCAGTGCAGGTAGAATATGATGAGAGATGGGAGTGTGGGAAACCTAACATGTAACGCATGTGAATGAGTCCGCGAAAGTATCTTGGTGTCATAGACTTCTAGATTTCTAATCTGCAGCGTGCTGTACATTTCGGAACCTCTAGTATGTGTCTCACAAACAGCTTTGTTCTCTGCTGTAGTGACTAGACCTTATCTGCATAAGAGCAAGATTAATACTATTTGAGAAAATGTGATTGTTAATACGAAGTGAGAAAACTTTATAACATTTGCTATATTCTTACACACTCTTTACTTTTTTTGCATATAACATGCAGTAATTGTAAAGGAAAATGTTTCATTGAGTTCAGTTAACTAAACAAAAAAGCAAAACTTATAACCACCAGTCTGTAATAGTCCTTTATTTAGTTCTGACAGTCAGTGAGACTAAGGCAGGTTATGCTTTTTTTTAATGACCTCGCTGTTGTCAGTTTAATAATATGAAATAGGTTTTGATGAGTGTCTTAAGTGGGGTATCAAAAGTGAGGTTTTTATTTGAATGAGGCAATTGCTGTAAAGGTAAGTATTTTAGGACTAGGCAGTAGCAGTGAATGGAATGCCAACAGGGGTTTTTCTTTGGATGTTTATTTTTCTTGCTAGCAGGAGTTGACCGTCTGTCTTTTACCAGTCCTGTTCCTGCAGGAGCAATCTGATTTGCATCCCTGAATACTTCAGTTGACTTATCCTCTGTATTTTCATAAGTCTGATGCTGTTTCCGGCATTGGATTTCAGTATAATGTTTTATCCTTTATAGCAACAATTGTTAGTCACTTGTGCTAAAGGAAGCATCAGTTTTTTTCAATGTGTGTTCAAGAAGGAAGTGAGAACTGTGTTGCAGTTTTGCCAAGAAGAGATACTGATCTAGGTATTCAGATGGCTCCAAATATTGATGTGTAAGTGAGAGAACCAGCTTCTGTTTTACTCAGGCACTGCTTACAATGGTAATATGATACAGAGTTGTTTCCCTGCAGAAATATAAGGATTAATTACCCTTCAGTGTCTTTCTAGTGCATTAGTTCTTTGTCTGCCTCTTGGTAACCTTCTTGCCTTTTCTGCTTTGCAGCCTTTGTCCAGCCTACAATATCTGTGAACAGTGTGAAGCAGGAACATATGCACATGATCCTAATCATGTCTTGTTAAAGCTGCGAAGACCTATACTACGTATTGCTGAGAATTACAGTCTTGCAGAGTTTTCGCCTCGCCTGCCTGCTACTCTGGAGCAAGTTAGGTAAATGGTGGCACCTGTCAGTACCTGACAAGATTATCCTGATAGCAAAGTGGAAACACCTGTATTGGGGTTATGTTCAGCTTTTATTTTAGATTTAGAGATAACAAGAAATGGAAATAGTAGTCAAACTTTATTGTGAGTAGCTAAAAATAGCTATATACTTACAAATGGCCTAAGTCACGAATCTTACAGCATTTTTAATAACAAAGTAGAAAAGACAGAATTTTGTGTCATAGGTGGGTAGCAAACTTTGAGAGCATGCTTTTTCTTTGAGCATTCTCCAATCTGCCTTTAAGTTTGCGCTTTCACTGAGGCTATTTGAAATATCTTCATGAGCAACTATGAAGATGTTCTTTTAAAATTATCTGGTATCCAGTCTAGAAGCATGAGACATTTCCTGAAGTGTTCCCTTTGAGACTAAGACTGTGTTGGCTAAAGCTAAATTCTGATCAGTTTAATGTATTGTAACAAGGTGGCTTATTCTCTTTGCAGGCTCCAGAAACAGATGGACAAAAGATTTCTGAAGGCAGAAAAGCAAAGATTACGAGCAGAGAAGAAACAGCGAAAGGCAGAGGTTCGAGAGCTCAAAAAGCAGCTAAAATTGCACAGGAAAATTCATTTGTGGAACTCTGTCCATGTATTGGAAACTAGTGGCTCACCTACTCTGAAATCTGAGAGTCTCCAACCTAATACCTTCCTGTAAGAGATATTAGCTGAGCATTTCTTAGTTGTGCTGTCTGTCCTTTCGTGATGAGACCAAGTTAAAGTAATAGGAGGAAGTTATGAAATTGCTCATTTAAAGTATCATTTGTCATTGGACCCTGTGAGAACTTTGTCTAAATGGAATTTGCAAGGTGGAGTGTCTTTACTGTTTTTACTTGGGAGGAGAGTAGGAGAAGAAAAAAAAGCAACTGATGGTTATTAACAGAAACTTGCAGATTTATATAGATTCAGGAGGAAGGGGAATGCCTAGGATTACATATATACGCATGCGTGCACCTACAGCGTAAATTAACATTACTACCAGTTTTAAAAAGGTCTGTATCTTCCTTCTATATTAAGTGTCTCTGCATAAAGTCAAGTACATTCTGTGTACTTATGTTCAGTGCTCTTTTTTTTTTTTTCTTTTTTCCTTTTTTATGTGATCTTAGGCTGAGGCTCACTAGACAGCAGCCTTTGCAGGGAACCACTTTGCATTTTCCGTTCCCTTTGGTTTTATGAATGTACAGGTGTAAAACTTGTATAGTTCTAGTTTCTTTAATTCATCCCTTCCATTTAGGGCATTTAAAAGTCAAATTAATATTAATCAGTTACTTACATTTGTGGGGAGCTTGAAATAGCTATCTTTGCTTCCTTTTTGCTGAACAGGCATATTACAGGAACAAAACCAATGCTCATTTAGGTCCGAATTCTTTTTTTTAGATCTTTTAAAGTTGGCATGCGTATGAGCTGCTTCACCAGTCTCCTCTCAGTGCGCCCAAATTAACAGTAAAGCTTTGGATTAAATCTATTTTAGAGCCCCTTTCAGGTAAAAGCTGTGGTATCTTGCTGAAAAATATTGCTTGTAAGGCCAAATAAAAGACACTATAGTGCTTAGATTATAGCACAGTATTTTTGATTCAACATCATAAAGATAATGACTTCATTCTCTAACAGAATAGCATAGCCCGAAGTGCTGTCAGACTAAATAAAATCAAGTGAAGAACAGTGAACTTCTCTCTATTAAACCTGAGTTCTGTAATTATATTCTTCCAAATAAGCAAATCTTGTTTTGATGTTTCTCTTTTCCTTAAGCAAAGGAAAGCAAAGTGCTATTGTGGTGTTTAGACTTAAAATGAAAACAGTAGCTAAAACGTTAGAATTTTGAAACACTTCTGGAGATAAAAGAAGAAAACAAATTAAATGGCCTCCTCCATTTCTAGTCAGTGAAATAGCAGCTGAACAACTTGCTCAGTTTTGGTGGTTTTTGGTGTCTTTTATTGTTTGTTTCCTCCCCCCCAATCCCAGGAGTCCTAGTCAACCCTTCCAAGCAATTGTCCCAACACTAAGTGCAGTATTTGTGGATGAGAATTTGCCAGATGGGACTCACTTGCAACCAGGAACAAAGTTTATCAAACACTGGCGAATGAAGAATACTGGCAATGTGGAGTGGAGCTCAGACACAAAGGTATCCTTCCTCTGTTACTACTTTTACACGCTAAAGTTCTGGAAGATAATATTTGGATGCATTAGGAACCTGAATTCTCTGTCGGAACCTGAATTCTCTGTCGTCCTTCCTGCAGGATTTCATTTGGCCTGTTAATTCACAAGCTGGGAGTTCTGGGGCAATAAGCTGTCTAGGTACTCTTTTACAACTGCAGATTATAGGAGGAAAGCAATCGAGATTAACATCACTGAACACATCTTCCAGTGCTGTTACAATGTTACAGTTCAACCTTGTTGAACACCTTTACAAGGTTGTGTTGCTTTTCTGACTTCAAAAAGCCTTTATTCTGTGAGTGACTGAGTTCATGTTGAAAGATGGGGGTATCTTCTTACTTTGTGGTGATGGTGACTAATGTGAGAATGTTTACTAGCAGCCTCTCTTCTCCATGCCTAGTATCTACAAGGCCTTTCAGCAGAGGAACGTTAAGTGCTTTTTACTACCCACAGTTTGCAGAGAAGCTTGTGAAGTTAACTTTTGCTTTTTTTGTTGCATATTTCAGCTGAAACTTATGTGGGGAAATCTGACCTTGGCATCTTCTGAGAAAAAAGATGTGTTAGTGCCATCCCTTCCATCGGGACAAGTAGGAACTGTTTCAGTTGAGTTTGTAGCTCCTAATATAGAAGGAACTTACACCTCTCACTGGAGGCTGTCACACAGAGGGGAACAGTTTGGGCCCAGGATCTGGTGCAGTATTGTTGTGGATCCCTCCCCATCTACTGACTATCTAGAAAGCAATTGGAAGGATTCTGACTCCTGTCAGAAGGATAAAGCTTCCAGCACCAAACAGGCAAGTAATTCATACGGTACTTGGGACAGTTCTGAATTGCCTAGTAGAAGGAGCAATGAATATTGTTTGGTGCAGTGGTGTAGTGTCCCTACCTATACTGATTTCCAGGGCATTCTTTTAAATGTTTGCTTCTAATTTTTATTTTTAATAGAAAAGAAACACAACTTACTGCATTTGTAAGTTCTAAAATGGTCATTCTTTTGACAGGCATGGGATTAGTTACCAGTCTGTTGCAGCTATGTGTCTAGTTCTTTGATTGAACTGAAATACTGCAGGATTTCTCTTTATGTTAGGTCTTGCCCTTTCAGCTCTAAAATGAATTGAATTAAATCTCTTTTCAAGTTACTTGTGTTCTTATACACAATATTCAGGCTTTACATTTTATGTAATTGTTTTATTTGCTGCCTGACATTATTTTTTTGCTTTTGCAGGATGCTTCCTTAAAGACAGAAGCTGGTGCTCAACTGATGGGTGAAATCATGGAGCAGGCTGAAATACCTCTGCCAACAATTCCTTTAAAGATCAAAAATCTGCCAAGTGAGAGAGAATTTTATATCCCATCTGTTGATCTCCTCACTGCACAGGTAAAGTGCTAAAATTCAGGTAGAGATAAAACAAACTACCTCGGGTTTGATATGTAGGTACATAGACATCCATAAGAATAGAAAGCTTCTGAGCTCTAAAATAGTCACTATATTTTCAGGAAAAGTATATTGCATTTTATATAGCAGAATTATTTTCTTGAATTAGTATCGGGGACTGTCACTATATGGAAGGTATGTGCAGGACAGACTAAGATTCTCAATAAAGAGTCACAGGGTTGGGTCTTTCTCTGGCCCCTAACAAGGGAGTACTTACCTTTGCCTCTTGCTGCCCTGATTTGCGTACTATATTCTATGATGTGGATGTACGTTACGGGAAAACTGCCCTCTGTCTTGAGATCATGCTGAGTAACTAACAAAGTGGAGTAGACTTATTTGTAAGTTAATGGGATCTGATGCTGGGAAGTACAGCATAAGATTCCATTTCAGGGTTTGCTGATGAAAACTGTGTGGTGTTTCTTTCTGTAGGATTTGCTGTCCTTTGAGCTGTTGGACATTAATATTGTGCAGGAATTGGAGCGAGTGCCACACAATACTCCTGTTGGTAAGGTTCTCATATTCTGTGTGCTGTCTCTAGCATTCCAAGTTAACTGTTTACCCATTGAAAAGCTGAACTTATTTGTACACAAGGCTTATTTGCTCTTCAGGCTAGAGTGTCTTCCCAGCTCTCCTGTCTTTTCATTTTAATTATTGCTGCAATCTGAGGGGAGATATTTGATAGTGCTTTGTATCCTTTGTATTTTTCAGTCTTTGGTTCTTTTCAGCTTCACATCCCCAAGACCATAAGATTCCAGACATTGAAGAAGGCTGCCATTTTCTTTGTTCAACCAGTGCCAGTGTAATGTGAAGCTAGTTGTTTATTTCACCAAATTGTCTTGTAAGATAACTGGGTTTCTTCAGTCTTGGAAGAATATCCCTTAAAAAAGGATAACTTCTTAAAAGATTGTCTCCTAGAGGAAGGAAGGTTCTTACTCCTTTAGTCCCAATTATCTTTGCTACCTTTGTTTTTCAGACATGACTCCATGCATGTCCCCTTTGCCACATGACAGCCCCTTGCTGGAGAAACCTGGCTTAGGTCAGATAGAGGAGGAGAATGAAGGGAGTGGATTTAAACCCGTGCCTGGTAAGCAGTAGTGAGAGCTTGGGGGTGGGGGGAGGAGGACATTGTCACTTCTGTGTGGTCAGCAGTCTTGATGTCTAAAAAGAAGTCTAACTCCTGTCTTTCCCTTCTGTGGAAAAACAAACAGTTGTTTGGCTCGTAAACTTGTAGTCTGATGCTGCTCTCTGATTGTAGAGGTTGGAACGTAATATATGTAGAATTCAGAGATACAAATGCTTCTCTTGATTTGTCCAACTACTAGAATTGTTTGGAGAACTAACAATTTGCCCTTTATAGACTAGATTGTATTCAAACACCCCAGGTGTGGCCCCCATACTTGTCAATCACTTTCACATTCAACTTGAACTGAATTCCAAAATCTTTGAATTTTTAAAAAGAATTAACACATAGAGTCAATATTAGCCTTGGCTAGCCTAAAAAATTCTTCATATATTTACATTTTCTTGTGGTGGTGCTAAAATAATCTGTTATGTTTCCCTTTCAAAGGAATGACAGAAGCCTGCTTTCCTGCAGATACTAGCATAGTGAAACTGAAAGCTGAACATCCACTGAACCAGGAGGAAGGAGAAGAAGATATGAGTGGGACGCAGTTTGTCTGTGAAACTGTAATTCGCTCTCTAACCCTGGATGCTGCACCTGACCATAAGCCCCCCCAAAAAAAGAAAATCCTCCAGAGTAAGTACTGTCTTTAGCTGGCTTCTGTGGCTTTACTTTTTTGCAGTCAGACATTGGCCACAAATTGCCCTGCACTGCAGGTGGTGATATTGCTTTGTTTTTCCTGATTGTTTTATTAGACTCTTTACAAACATTACAAGACACCTTCAGCTGCAATGTGATAAATGAAGAATCTCCTAGGATAAAAACTAATTCCACTTCTAAAAAGGAAGCAAAGATTCATCAGTCAGAGGCAATGACAGAAAATGACTGTGGTAAGTAAAATAGGTTTGAATTTAAAGTAAAGCTGTAATAAGGGCTACAAAAAAAATCAGGTGTAAAAAGATCTGACACTGTTCTAGGAAATTGATCTTCATTAGATCAAGAGAATCATTATTACATCAGAAAATTGTTGTCAGTACTCTGAACAAGCAGCTAGTTTAACAGCTGCTTTAAAAAAAAGTGAAATTGAGACATAAAGGTTCCAATGGGGTATTCAAATAAGTGCTCATATGTTAAGCATGGCTGGTGCTTCCATATTTTGTACGTGTAGCTTGAAGTCAGTGCTTTTAACTTTCTGATGCATGTGATTTAGGAGCTGAAAACTACTGTTTAAGTTCTCAGTGTGGCTCTTACTCCTGTTTTTATTATGAGCATTAATATCGGCAGCATATCTGCTGCTGTTAACCATAGGCTTAACAGTAAGATCTATTACTCTTTCACACTATGCCCCCACCCTCCCCCCAACAGACAAAGAAAATTATACCATTAATATCAGCAGCGAAGGTTTAAATTTTTTCTGAACACTTGCCTTTTATATCTGGGACAATACTGTCTTTGCTGTTACCCATACAAAATGGACAATTGTTAATACTTCACTTTTTTTTCACACCCCCCTCCGCCGTTAGGGGACCTTCCACTGTCTGATGAGAGAGCAAGCCCCAGTAGTGATACAGGCAATTCTGATGAAGAGGAAGATGATGATAAAGATGATGTTCAAAGTCAAGGCTCCTCTGCTTCATCGGAGGATTATATCATTATTCTCCCCGAGTGCTTTGATACCAGTCGTCCTTTAGGGGAGTCTATGTATAGTTCAGCTCTTTCTCAGCCCAGTTTGGAGAAGGCAGGAGAGCCTGAAGCAGGAGCAGAGAATCCAGAAGGGGGAAGCCAGCCACAGATCTGCAGTGTCAGTGATATTTTGACAACTTCACAAACACTGGCTGTAGTACCACTAACCCCAGAGATTGCGGACACCTTACCCCAGACACAAAGGTATGCTTTTTGGACAAGAACAAAATGGTTATGTTAGTGTTGCTGTAGAATCTGCAGGGTGTTGTGCTTAAGTTCGGTGTCCCAACAGAATTGCTACAACAAAAGTTTTGTTGCATACTGGAGTGAATGTTCTAAATCATGCAACTTTTTATAAAGCCTGTACTCGCCAATTAGGTGAGCGTGACAGAAGGAAAGAAGGGAGCATGTGAAGCTTTTTCATTTGTCTGTTGATCTTGATTTACCTACATGTGTGCATGTAGAATGAAAATAGTAAAAGTAATTGTTTTGCCTTACGTTTTCAGGAATCTTGCATCTTTTCAGGATCATGTCTTCCAAGAACCAAACATACCTGCCTTTGAGAATCTCTCTTCCACTCCTCATAATCAAATAAGAGAAGGTATTGACAGTACTTAATGAAGGGTGCATCCACAGTTGTTATTGCCTGTTCCTTATGCCTAGTATTGGATTTGATGTCTTATTATTCTTGAGGAGAGCAGAAATCTACCAAGTAATGATTGTTTTTTCTTCGGGTGTTGAAATGTTACTATATAGAACATTTGAATAAAGAAATAACTGGTTTTGTGGGTCAGCTAAGAGCATCTATTAATTAGAAATGGTAGGAGGGTACTCGGAAATATTTGTAGACATCTGGAAAACTACCTCGCTCTGGAATTAACGAGCTATGTATTTAAGCTGTTGTTACAGTCACTGGGAGCTCAGCAGCAGTTCATGTCATGTTAAAGTAAACACCCACTGATTAATTAGCCAAATGACTTCTGAAATTCTTTTGATTGTTTTGACTGCAGTGAGAATCTTGTATACCTAGTTTGTGTCTGGATAACTAAACTTGAAAGTATTAATTTTGGACTGAATCCCACTCTTCCATTTATGTACATGTTGCATCTCTTCAGCTTCTCATTAACTGGACACGTTGATATGATTTTTTTTTTTTTTTTTCCTTCCTGTTCCAGAACCCAATGGTGAAGACAGTCATGGACCAGGATCTTTGGGATTTCGAACTAGTAAACAGAAGTGCTCAGAATACCCAGGGTAATGAAGCTGAAACTGTGACTTCCCAAATACTGTTTTAAACTAAGAACTGCTAAATTAGGCACCTAGGAAAAAGCACTGGCTTACAGATTTAATGTAGTCAGTATTTTGGTAGAAAGGCCTCCCTTCTCAAAGGAAACATATGCTGAATTATATAATGCTGTATTTTCATAAGATCTTGGTTTCTACTTAGACACAAATATGAAGGTTGCAGAATTGGTAAGCAAAAGTGTATGAAGAGCTGAAGCTGAATCCTTCTAAAATTCTGTGGTTTTTTTCTGGAAGATCTCAGGATTCTTGAAATAGGGATTTTGTAAGTTAGCTACAAAGTTAAGCATTTTAAGATGCTGAGACTGGAGGAATAAGACAAAACATTGAGCAGAATATTAAGTGACTTACGAATTGATGGAAAACAAACGGAAGTTACTCTGGCCTGAATGGATATGTCACAGTGCACAGCTTTCATGTATAGATGTACTCTTCTGGGTGAGAATACTTAATTCTTTACAAACGGCCTTGTTATGGAGAGCAAACTAATGTACTTTAGCATAAAACCACAATTTAATAGAAGGTGTCAAGAAAGAAGGAATGAGCTTCCTGGATAGCTCAGTTCCCAAACAGCAATGATTCCTTTGGATCATAGGTTGTTCTTTCCAACAAGAACTAAATCTCATATGGCACAGCAACAGGGAGGGACTTGCATTTCTTGTGAAACAAACACTTGGCTTTACTGACCCTGAAGTAATACCTGACTTCTCTGCAGATACCCTCAAGGAAGCAGCATTGCAGGAGAACTAGTTAAAGGAGCTTTGTCAGTTGCTGCTTCTGCCTACAAAGCATTATTTGCTGGACCGCCCATTATAGAACAGGTAAATGTCTTTCCTGTATGCTGTGTGAGTTTCATAGAATGCCAACCTTAAAATGATAGGTCTGTGTTTTATAAATGTATCGATATTCTATATAGGACTTCATGCAATAGTAAAATGTTAAGCTTGATGGCATCCCTTTGAAGTATGCTGCTCCACCAGCAGACAGGGAGGTCCATACCATTGGGATAGAAGCATGTGTCTTACAGTGTCATGTAAGAATAGTAATTCACCTTTGTAAGTGAACAGTGGAAGAGAATATAAATAGCTTAATTGTGGACAAAATGGCCTCTATGCCTTAATTATATTCCAGTATAATGCAGGACCACTGCTTCCAATGGCAAAAATAAATGATCTTTTTGTAGCTTATCTTACTATCTTTTGTTTTCAGCAGCCTGCAGCTACAGAAGAGCACACTGCCACTCTTCTATCCAGTCTGTGTGAGATGGGATTCTGTGACAGGCAGTTAAACCTGCGACTGCTGAAAAAACACAACAATAATATGGTTCAAGTGGTAACTGAATTGCTTCAGATCAGTAACAGTGACTGGTACAGCAGTAGATGCTGAACCCTCCTGATGGAGGGAGGAATGGTCTTCATTGAGTAAACTCTCATTAAACGCTGCAACAGTAGCAGGCTGCTTCTCAGCTGCTTCCTGTTTGGAGGTGTGACTAAAACTTTGGTTTTTCTTTGAGTTTTTGACTTTTTTTCTCATGGAAATGTCAAACAGTGCTTGTCACAGCATCTTATGAATTGGAGACCAGAATTTCAACTGTTATTCGGACCTCATAATTAAATGAGTAGTCTTTAAGTGTCTAATTTCATACTGAATCCTTTTATCAGGGAATCCTGTAGAATTACTTCAAACTTCTACCCAGACGAGAACTTCCCCTTTTATTGTGTGTAAGATTATTTTTTTAGGCAGCTGGACACTTGTTTTGTTGACTTTTAACAAGCTTTGGAATAGGAACCAATGTAAAATCCTGCTGTAAAATGTAGTCTTGCCTAATTTACAAGAGATGCCCACAACTAGCAAGTTGTTTCTTCTGATACGATTTAGTAATTGATTTGTCCAACACATGATAGTAATGTAACAGACTTAAACCTTACAAATGATTCTTAGAAAAAAAAGGTTGCACATACACAAAAGCCATCTTGAACCATCAAACAACTTTTGAAAAGTCTGAAAGTGTAACCACTGTTAAACTGATGAATACCAGGAAAGTCATTGTTTCCTGTACCAGAATGAAGCAGGAGAGTGAATTTACCAGCAGCTGTTGAACCATCTCTAGTAACGATAGTGCAAAACATACCTCTAACAGGAAAATACAGCCTACATAACATATTTTGTTAAAAATGGAGAGTAAGTGTAGGAAAGGCCTTTCTAAGAATCTTTACAGGCTCTTTGTAAAAATGTTAAAAATTTGGCCACTATCTTTTTTCCATTTAGTGCAAACCTCTTATTCTGTTAATACCACGTAGAAGAATTGAAGAATGTGTAGAAACCTAGACCTGAATTGGAGTACAAATTCTGGTAGTGTTTAGGAATGGGAAGAGTGCTTGAGGTAGGGATTGTGTGACTTACGTTATAGTTTGAAAAATGCGTTAACTTAAGCAGTTTTAAGTGTGCAGTCTCCTGTGATGGTTCTAGCTGCTCCTGTGTTTCCATAGACACATCTATAGGATTCATTTTTCTCACAAGATTTTGCTTTAGATGCCCATATTTAATTTGGAAATCTAAGAATTCCCTTCTAAATGTGCTGAGAGATTTGATTCTGAAGAATCACGAGAAACGAGCGACATACACTGCTGTGCAGTGGTGTATCCGTAGATAACTTTTCAGAGTCCAGTCCTCTGAAGGTGACAGCAGTGTTGGCTACGTTCTTACTTTCAAACAACCTTTCTTCCTTGCTGCAGTAAGAGACCGATGATCCTAAAATATTTTACTACTGCTGCCTCAAAGTAGGGTGTTTCTGTTTTGTCACCACGTAGCTGAAGCAGTATCGGTATTGTAACTGACCAGGTGATCAGGAGTAGTAATTTTTTTAAGACATAATACCCTTAGAGATAAGATACCATTAAAATAATTGAAGAAAAAAAATGTATCATACCATTTTTGTTTTAAACCTATTTTTATAGATTGTGGAAGATATACTCTTAAATGTTTATTTTGAAATACAGTAGAACTATTTTGCAGTGTTTCCCATCTTACTGTACACTAGTACAACTGTGCTGTGGACCAGATAAAGATCTTTTCTGTAACTTGAAACTACTGTTTTCTTCCCACCTTAACTTATGCATACTGTTTTGAGTACCTTTTGGCTTATGCCTGCTCTAGAACGAAGAGGAGGAAAGGACATGGATGAAGTGCAGTAGCTGGTGAAAAATTTCTTAAGCGTAGTGTGGTTGTCTGCCTTGATCTGGAATGCCCAGCAGGACACATGTTCTTTCTGTGTGTACCTTCATACTTAAAATGTTAATGTGTTCTATAAATTAACAAAACACTAAAATGTTTGAGGAGGAACATGTCATTGCAGATGGAAATGTGAAGTGTGAAACGATGTTTTCTTTAGGTTACTTTTTACTAGGGTTTAGATAATGTATGCTCAGGCTTAAGATACATTTCTGTTGGCTTTGTATATTTTGTTAATGGATGCATGGTATAATTTATAACCTATTCTATAGTGCAGATATGACCTCTGTATCTGATTTAGAGTGAGCACTTTAAAGTCAACTGTGATGAGAGGGGAGGACCATCTCTTCCTCCATCCTTACAATAAAACTCTCCATCCCTCCGGCTGTCCCTTGGGCTCCTCACAAGCAGGGCCGGCAGGAGCGCCCGCGGGCGGCCCGCCCCGCTCCCC